TTTAAAAGTAGATTTAAACTTTATGTAAAATCTCAGTTAAATATTCAATAAAGATAGAGGCATAGCCTTACCATTAATATTAAAAAAAAAAAAATATATAATTAGTAATTTTTTTATAAAATTATAATATAATGATTTCATATAGTTTAATAGTTAATAAATAATGTTTTTTTTTAATATTAATGGTGAAACCATGCCTTTATTATTATTAAATATTTAATTGAGATTTTATATAGAGTGCAATGCTGCTTTTAAAATATTATAAAAAAAATAAAAGCTTAAACTAATTTATCTGTGACCTAAACTAACTGAAGTGGTTAAGGTTCATCTAGATTTGAGTATTAGTAATTATGTATAAGGAATTAGTTTAATATTTAATTCATTAGATATACCAAGGTTATTTTTGAACTAATAAAGTTAAACAAAAGAGAACATAATATAAGTAAGACAGAGGTTGATAATGAGTTATATTTAGGAATTTGAATTGTAGATCTTGAATTACAGTAAAAAATTAGATTTTATGATAAATTTGTTAATTAAGATAAAGCAAAAACTTTATAGTAAGTGTTATAGTTACTTTTTTAGATAACAAATTTGTAATAATATCAATGAGTTCATTTGGTATTAGATCTGTTAAAGTTGAAAAAATTGAGATGCATTTGATAAACTGTGAGTAGTCATACTACTCAGTAGCTTAATTTAGTTGTGTAAATTTATTATAGTATTTGATGTAATATCAAGTATATTAGTATTAAAAGTATGTTCAAGTAAAATGTTCATAAGGCTATATAGTAATTGGTTAGATGAAAAATTATTAGATAAAGATAATAACTGGTTTGGTAACATTGGTAACAGATTGATAAATATAAATAATATCATTTGTGTAAAATATATGAAATAGAAAGATTATTTAGTAAAATTTTAATTCTAAAGAACTTAAGAGTAAAAGACTGAAAATTGTATAAAAAATTGAAGATTTTTTAATTATTATTAATATATAGGCAAGTAGCTTGTCAGTTAATTTGGTTAAAAATTTTGTATCATTTTTGAAAGCAGTTTATATAATTCATAATGTATAAATATGTATATAGCATATTGTATAAAAATTATAATGAATAGGTAGTTCTAAAAAGAAGTTTTTAAAGTTTAAAGTATATAAAAAGTTGTAAATATTATAAAATATAAAGGTGAAATATGGCAAGTTGTGATAATTGTATGTGAATTGATCTACAAAATTATTATATTAATCATTTTAATAAGCAATAATTTTGTGAAAAATAATGTAAATATTGTATAATTTAATAAAATTAATAAGTATTTATATATATTTTTTTAAATATTAATGGTGAGGTCATGTCTTTAACTTTATTGAAATTCAATTAAAGTTTTTATAAAGAAAAGTTTGCTTTTAAATTACATATAAAGAATAAAGACTTAGACATATAATCTGTGATCTAAACTTACAAGAATAGCTAAGGCTCATTTAAATTTGGGTATTAGTAATAATATAAGAGAGAGGAGTATAATATTTAATTCATTAAATAGTTTAAAAATCAATTTTAGTAATAATTTAAGGTACTGAGATAGGGATAAATTAGAAGAAGAGCTATGAGTTAAATTTGTAATAAGTATGTTTTGAGATTATGCAGAATAGGCCAAATGATTTGCAAAGTTAATAAAATTGTAAACAATAAGTTTTTTTATATATTAGATGATGCAAACCTTACAGACTCACCAATATGATTGCATATTGAATTATACAATTATTATTATTATTATAAAACAAGAAATTAAAAATCTGTCATCAGCTAGCTGGTTAACTAAATTGCTTAGTCAGTTAATATTAGCAATAGCTATAGCTAACTATAGTTGGTTATAGTTGTAGCTAATTTCATTTCTAATCAAGATTAGTATACAGATCATGTATCTGAAAAATTTTTATATTAATAATCTTATATTAATTTATCATAATAGTGAATTTGTTTGGTTGCAACCAATGAAATTAAGGATTCTATCATATTTATCATATAATTAGATATTTTTAAAGAATTACCTCAATTTGTTAATAAATTATTACTTTTACATGATAATAATCTAATAATTAGTCTTATTTTAATATAATATTACATGATTAGTAAGATTAAAACAAAATGTTTGTATTTTAAAAATTACTTATTTCTCAAAATTTATATAAAAAACTATTTTTTATATCTAACAAAAAAAATTCCTTGAACAATTTTACTATAAATTCCATTAATGACTCATTTTATTAGAAATGTTAACCTAAACCTAAATGAACTTTAAAGAATTTTTTAATTATTATGTAATAGTAAAATTTTGTTAATATAACTGGGTAAGATTTTTTAGAGGGTTGTGTTCAACTACATCTTGCATAAATTGTATTATTGATGCTTTTATAAACTATACTCTCCTAACTAGATATGATTTGTTTTTTTTAAATTGTTTAAATTGATTTAACTTTATTTATCTTCAATTTTCCTTAGATGTTTTATTTCATATTTGCTTAATTTCACTTTTATTTATATTACAATACCTTTTTTTTAAAAAAAAAAAACAATTATTTTTGTTTAAGACAATGATAAGATAATAACAAAATGATGACAACAACAAAATGAGAGAAAGGTCTGTATTTTAGTATTTTGTTTGTAGAAACTAGATATATTGTAGAAACTGTTATATCTTACTGAATCACAAAAGTTTTGTTATATCTCTAATAAAAACATAAGGTTGTTACTGCTTATTAAATTTACTAATTTTGTATAAGAAATTGACTATTTTAATTAATATAATTAGTCTTAATCTTATATGTGAATATAGTATTAAGCATTGACATATATTCAAAAATTTTAAGAAAATTTGAACATATTTCTATATTTTATATTTCTAATTTTTTTTAAAGTTAGTAAACATATGTTTAATTTTAATACTATGTGTTATCTATTATTGTAAAGATACCAACTTCTCAGAAATGTTTGATTGAAGCAGTAATAGGCCATGTATATGATGACAATATTGACATACTTTTTGACTATTTATTAATTTTTTTTTTTAGTATATAATAGGTTATTTGTCAGATAATATGTTGATTTTTTTTATCAGATCTTTTTTTTTAGATGGTTTTTCTTTTTTTACTTTCAAAATAATATTTTTTTTGTAATTTATATTTAATAAAAATTTGTAAATTTCTAATTAATTAATAAAATTGAATATGCAAACTATGAAGTAATCAAAGTTTGCTCAAACGTTATTCTCTATGCACTTAGCTAATAAACATGATGATGTTCATTTACTACAATCAATCAAAATAAGAAACCTTATTGATACTTGAGCGATCCATTAATATTTTATCAAATGTCGTTATCATTACATTTAGTTCGTTAATATTTGGTTGTTGCATAATTAGGTTGCATGATAAGGTTACTTGTGCGATCTCATTGAATACTCAATTAATTGTAAATTTTGTCAACCCAGGAATAAAAAAAAAGGTGGTCTGCTGCAAAATGTAATGATAAACTCGTGGAATAATTTTTATTAATAAAAATTTATTGATTACATAATAAACTTTATTAAACTACAATGTTTATTTAAATATTTATTATGATGTTAAACACTTTTGACTCTCTTAAATTATTTTCCGCTAAGTAAAATTTATTCACTGACACTTTTTGTCCAATTGATTAAGATGCTTGAGGACACCCTTAATTATACGTTGCATTAACTCTATCAAGTGGTACATTGAAGTCAAATATTTCTTAAATTATTGACTTCAATAAAGTATTTATGTATTTACGTTTATCGTTATTGGTGCTAATAATTTAGGATATACTTGTCTTTATAAGGAAACTCTATAAGAAGATGGTGATGTTTAGATTCCTTGCAATGTAGCACATTGAAAAATAAATTTCTTAGATTATCAATCTCAATGAAGTTAATTATTCTCGCTCGGATGGCTTTATTATGAAAAACATTATGGGAGAGAAAAGAGGATCGATATTGAGTTAGGGTACTTATGTACAATAATAGATCAGTGTTTTTTTTTTCCACGACAAGTGCTAAACACTATGAGCCAGATGTTAATCGGACAGCGAAAGAATGAAGCACTAAAGATCTTCATTCAGCCAACTTACTATAAAATACCTAGATCAGGTTACGTAAGCTAACCACAGATCATCCTCACGATAATACCCATTGCATGACTCTTGTCAATGCAATGGGTCATGATCTAATACGTATTGTCATATGTACAAAGTTGCAATCAGCTGTGAAAATTATTCAAAAAATAAACAACTACACTTTATAGAGACAAAATAAAAACAATGAAATTAAATATTTTAATTTGATTGAAGGTTATATTACAGATCATGCCAAGAAGTTAATCAAGTAGTACATTAAAATTAATATTTCTTAAATTATTAACTTCAATAAGGTATTTACATATATAAGAGTGATTGTAGTTTTTAGATTTCTTGCACTGTAGCTATTTTGGTAATTTAGGATAAATATTGATTTGGTGTAATTATTAATGTATAATTATTGTATTTCTCAATTTTATATATATCATAAGAATCAAAACATTTGACTTTGTATCACGATAGGCTAACCCACGAATTTAGAAATATTAAATAAATTTTTATTTTTAAAATCACATTGCTGCACTACTATTATTTGTATAAAAAGAGTATGTTTTGAATTCGAATTTTACATATTTAATTTCGCCAAAATCCAAAAGTTACTTAACCAGTAATTATGAGTGATAATCAGTGTTCTAAGTTTTCCGATGATGATTTAAAAGAGCAATACTACATTGTTAAACTAAAAAAAAGGTTTATAATATGGGAAAAACTCTAGCATTCATCCAAAATGCATATAATAATCATTACTATTATATGTTTATTGTCGCTTGTAATTGGTATCTTCCTTTTAATCTCTGAAGCAAATGGTGTGGGGTCAAAGGTTAGAGACTTTATTTCAACTTCTATTTTTGGAACAGAAAGTATTACAGCTCTTGTGGGAAGTTTGTTGTCTCTTAAGAATTTACTTTTTAAGAGCAGATTAGAAATATTGGATGAATTATATATTAAAGAAAGGGATTTAAATATTCGTAGAAATAGTCATCATTGGTCAAATATTGAAAATTATGAGAATATAAAAAATAGGATTTTTGTTGATATTGTACCATGAATATTTAGGAAAATACAAGATTTTAAAGTAATACAATCTGAAATGGAATGTTTTAAAAGATGGGTAATACAAAACAAAATAAAAGTTGTGAATGAAATCATACAAAAAATAAAGAAAAGCCATATTAATTTAAAGAATAAGAAATCAGAAGATGGAAGACCGCATGAAATTGATGAAATAGAAGGTTTGAAAAAAAAAGTTTATAACGAAATTGATGCATTGGATGATAAAGAATTGAAGAAGAAATTTAAGGAGGAATTTGTAGAGGAATTGCGTAAGTGGATAGAAATGATGAAATGGATAGAAAATAGGCCAAAGGATGTAACAGATAATAAAGCGGCAAATAAAAATCAAAATACAAACAAAATTAATGCAATGGATGATAAAGAGATAAATAAAAATAGTCAAAATGAACAAAACACAAACGAAAAGATAAATAAAAATAGTCAAAATGAACAAAGCACAAATGAAGAGATAAATAAACATAGCCAAAATGATCAAAATACAAATGAAGAGATAAATAAACATAGTCAATATGATCAAAATACAAATGAAGAGATAAATAAAAATAGTCAAAATGAACAAAATATAAATAAAACTAATGCAACGAGTGATAAGGAGATAGATAAGTTGCTAAAGGAATAGGCGAAATTGACAAGTGGATCAGAGAATAATCAAATACAACAAGATGCAACAGAAAGCAAGTTGATAGAAAGAAAAATAAAAAGACTTAAAAAAGTAATGAATTCAAAAAAAAGGACATTATTTGAAAATGTTGAAAATTTTTTTTGAAAACAATTATATTTTATGAAAAAAATAGTCGAATATACACAGTTTATTTTGATTCTTCGGTTTTTATGGGTTGCTATATTTTCTTGTGTTTTTATTATACTATCAGTAATTGCTATTCTTACTTTGATTAACGGAGCAGATAAAATTATATTTCTAACTATAGATATCGTTCTCATAACTATTTCTTCATTCTGTCTACTTAGTACAATATACATTATCATTTTACATAAGGTAATCATTTCTATGATAATAGGCGATGATGGAGATGATTATATTTTCGAAAATAAAATTAGTTTGTTTCTTACATTAGAAAAATGATGGAAAGAACGATGTATATTAGGAAAATGGGAGAAAGAAAAAGGATATAAAAGGATAATAGAGTTTATTTGTATTTGTTTGTTATTCCTTCCAGTTTTTATCTTTTTGTTGCTGCCTTTTATGATTTTTTCCTTATTTCTTGGTCAGTTTAAATATTCATCTTCCTTTGGTCTTGAGCTAAAAAGAACTGAAATTAATAAGACAGAGATGGAGAACTTTAAACGTCTCATTTATGGTTTTCCTGTATCAGAACCCGTATCAATAGTATAATTCCTATTTATTTATTATTACAATATTATAACTAGTCTATTTTTTTTTTTTTTACCTGTATCTGTTATACATTTCATAAGTTATTTTAGAATCTGAATTTGACATATGTTATATCTAGAGATGGGTTTCATGCGTGCACATGATTGCGGAAACATGTGCATTTTATCCCATCAAGATTTCTCTCCTCTCGATCGTTTTTTCTTTTTTTTTGCATTTTTTTTATCATGCGATATCATGCGCATGAAACATTTCGTGCGCATTAATGCGCATTCATGCGCATGTTATTTTAAAATGCGCATTTTCCCCATCACTAGTTATATCATAATCAGTATATTATTAAAAATAAAATAAAATTTTATTTATGAAAAAACAAAAAGCAAGTACTTTCATAAAGATAAACCAAAATTAAATAACACTATCGGCAAAGTATAATTATTAGAAAAGCCGTTCGATAATTTTAATGATAGTTCACATTAGTGATTATTGCATTCGCCTCGTAATACATATCTACAAAAAAATGTGGCTTAGTCATAATTAAAGCTCTTGAATTCATATTTTTCCGTGCCTTCGGCACTGAGTTTGTCAAAAATAAGAATCAAATGAGAGGTGAGAGTTTATTTTAAACCTTTTATTAATAAACAAAATTTGTACTTATGGATCGATTAATTAATAAGAGGGATCAAATCAAAGCTATGTTAAGTGTTTCGAATAAAAAGTTTACCAAAAGGAATCGTGAAATTTTTATTTACATATTGTTATATGGGAAAATTATTGTTTTGTCTCTCATACGCTTGTTATAAACGACTAAACACATACGGGTTTTATTCCTTCCGCGTCGAGCATCACCTGCAAATTTTATAGTATCGAATACGACTTTTTTTTTTTTTTTTATTTATTCTAAAATGACTGTCGTCCGACAGGTCATACTATTCAACAATACACTGTGCTGCACTGGGTGACAAGACCAACAATAAACTTTTTTATGACTGTCGTCCCGACAGGCCATCAATTCACAAACTTCAGAATGAACGAATTAAAACTTTTTCAATAGTTACGGGTAGGGTGGGAGGGATCGACAAAACCAGACTAAAAGTCGGGTTCGCAAAAGAAATAGAGTTATCTCTAAC